TGTCGATGGCATTTTGTTTTAGGACATAGACAAAAATTCCACAGAGCCGCATATTTGGAAGACTGCTAACGCGCCTGGGTTGTGCCGATGGCTTGGATCAGCATTCCAATTTATAAGGCCATTTACGGCCACTCCAATAAGTTTTCTGCCCCACCCTGCTTTGCTTCATCCACAAATCTCAAGGCGCTTCAGGGCAGGCATCAGAATCTTGGTACCGTTAGGTGCAGCGGCCACTATTTGGGCACAACGTCACGGGCAGTCCAAATAAACATTATTTTGGCATTGTCTCGTTCTTGCCTTTCCTGGTCTAGGCAGTGGAGCTCGTTTTGGGCGTGGAACTGAGAGTTACTTGAGTGCAGTACTGCCCCAGGGTGATTCATTCTCTTCCGCTGGCACAAGTCCTGCCCAAGCGCTGCGCACAAATTGCGGATTATCTTGGGTTATGACTGGTTGTGCACACCGCGTGAGTTTCAAAGTGACGTTTATGTTCAAGTGGGAGCAGGCGGGAGGTCAAGAAGATAGCTGTGGTGGAATTTTTGTGTCTCCCATGTAATCCGTGTCTTGTTTTCTTGTTTTGGTAGCTGATGGTTGCGCACAAACCGCCGCACCTTCCCAAACGCCTCCAGCAGCACAGCCCTCTCCCCAAAATGTAGGGATGCGCGTTTCTTCAATTGGCGGCGCATCCGCTCCTGAAGCACCGCCTGCAAAGTGGTTGGCAAGCGGGGGGGAAGGTGAAAACTTAGAGGCAAAATCTTCACTCCTGTCCCTCATGTTGCAGCGGTGCAGCACTCGTTCAGAAATCTGAGTACTGCGAAGGGATTTTACATGCGAATGGTAAATTCTTCTTGACCAAAGCCTGAATTTTGCAGATGGAACGGCGTTTTAACTTCACACGTTCTCCCCGCCCTGTTGTTGTGGATTGCAATAATTAGATTATCCACTAATCCGATGAGGAATTGGACAACCTCCTGGCTTCCCGCGCTTGAAGCTCCACGAATGCGCCGCCTTTCGGTATTCTGCATGCTCTTTTCTTGATCCGGATCCGCGATGCCGCGCTTGGGGATTTGTGCGTTGACATTTGCGTCGCCTCTTGCATTAAATTTTGCGCACGGCGGTCCTGAAGACACACAAACACGCCACTCCATCAATTTTTATAATAGTGAATAGTAGAAATGCATACACATGGGCACATTACCCTTGGTTCCACTTGAAAAAGGAAACGGTGTAGGGAATGCGCAATGGAAGAAACAACTGCGACTTCCATTCGAAGCCTTCGAGCATCTCCTCAAAATCTGTTTAATTATTGTATCTGGCGTAGCACCTGACCCATAACTGGAATATATTTGCTATTGAAAGTACTCCTGAATTCGGCGACATGAATTTTCGACTTGTTTACTTGCAGCTAACTTAGGGATTATGCCATACACCGTATTTAGCTTCCCATTTGCATAACATAAACATTCTCGTGACTTTGTATGGCACGCTAGTAGGTACCTATTGCCCACCAGTGGTCGTGGCGTTCTACCCCGCCCACCGGGCATAGTTATTGCGCTTACACCACCGTGTTGGGTCTGTGCGTTGACACACAGTGGGTTTGTGCAGAAGGACGCCCATAATCGGGTCCACATGTTCACTTTGGTTGCTCGACATACAATGCATTCCCTTCTTGAGGACCATCAGCAGACTTTATCTCCTGTGCATGGTGACGATCTTGTCAAACAGTACGTGTGTAGTATAGAAGTCGAGTGCCATTCAAACTACTTTCGCTTTTTCCGAGAGAAGCTCCCATTAAAATCCATAAAATCGGGACTCGCCTTATGAGCTCCACATTTAAGGATAAACTTGGCAAATAGTAAAGCACCCCTCTCAACGTGAAATGCGAGCAAATGCGAGCACAACATCCATTCTGGTGAGTAATATTCACACTGCCTTGACACAGCTATCGCCAGTAGCACATACGGCGCACAGAGTAAACCTCTTGGATCCCTTCTCATACAACTCATATTATTTGGACAACGACTGTGGTGGGTAGAGCGAATAGCATCGCCTCCAAACTTGCCATAAATTTTTGAACGCCAAAAGGGTGGTCGATAGCCTTTGGGCTCAGAGGGCGGAGGCACCTGGGGATCAAGTTGGGACACACGAGTTGTCACTTGGCATCTTCTTGCAACACCTTGCACAACCCATCAGTACGTTAGTCGAGTTAATATATGACATCGGAAGCCGCTGTGTGGCACTTAGTCTCATCTTTTGTTCATTTGGACTCGGCCGTGGATTTCGGTGGCAACAGTCCGACAGGGGTCTTCATTCTGTCACCGTAATTTGGGATTGAAGCTTCTGCAAGCACAAACCAGGCAAAACGTACCACTATACTTGCAAGGTAAAGCTAGCCCACATCGAGAAGCCCAGTGGATGCCCAACTCTGCAGTTCGCATCGTTGATGCCAGCAACATATCTCCTTTTAATAGCTTTATTTTTCAGCGCGTCGTCGTCATCACACCCACCAAATTTAGGCGATCAGAGATGGTTGAATTCTGTTCCAGTCTTACTGCGCTCGCTGTTTCCAAACACAGCCAAATTCCACGCTAAGTGTGACAGTTATTGAGCGAATCACCACACTGCTCGAAAACGAACCTGCTGTCGTGGCTGTGCGGCTTTCCGCTCGAGGAACTGGTGCCTAACTGCAACTGCATCGATCTGGCGTATGGATTTCCTGTTGTCCTCCCTTTGCTGCTTGTCCCCGTAGGATGCTTTTAGAATGGCTTCCATGAGAGCCTATGCCTCTGGGCTCTCGTTGTGCGGATAACCGCCAAGACTGCAACGACAAGTTGCATTTTGGTGAACTAATAAGTAATTGTTTCGTTCAAAAACGACAACTCGAAACGACAAACTCATTAGTACAGCAATTTAGGGAGGACGATAAAGGAGGGGACACGCCTGGGGTGCTCTTGGGCACGCCAATTTGACTTTGACCTGCTGACTTATTTTGGGACATAGCAGCACAATCTTCATTCATCTGTGTATCATAACAGTATCTTTTGCAGGTGGATTTATGATGTTATCAAAATTTGGGTCTTGTGAAAAAATCCACAGTATCTATTGGCGTTCAAACATTTAGAACTGACTTTTGGCTAGTGCGTTTGCAAATGATAAGATGGGATTGAAACTACTGTTGGTAGTGACTTTGATTTCACACCAACTGCAGCAACACTGATGATTGCACTAATAGCCATATTTAAGGAGACCTCCTTAAGTGCGGTTATTGATGCAATACCTACATCAGGAGGTGCCTCTCAAAAGGCATTTCCTCTTTCCTGTTGCCTTTTTGTCTCTGCAGGATACCCAACCACTGGCCTAAGAGCTCGCAACGAAAGCAACGCTCGCATGAATTCACCAGCAAAATTCCCCATAATTTTCCGTCAATCGGTATTATTGTCGATTCCCGTGCAATGACAGAGACAGTGGATTGGCTGTGTTGGACCAAAGCCAAATCCATGCAGAGCCGAGACGGGCATCAACTGGAGGAATGCGCCCAAACGGGTACTGGATGGATCGCCATGGGAGTCCGCAGAACTTTTGACATAATTCTTGACATGTCTTACTTGGCTGTCACAGCCACGGTTTGCGGTGCAACGCAATTTTCCACGAGTTCGCGTGCAACCGCATCTAAAAACGTAATAAGAGGATGATGTGCGTGACGTAGACATGCCTATGTCTTTTGAGCAAGTATAGGTAGGCCTGACTGCTATACGGGTCCATCGCGCCTTTTTATGTTCTGATTCAAAAGTACTTCACAACACGCTCGCCGCGCTGATTCGTGAATCACAAGAAGGCGGCGGGGTGCGGAATTTTCTGTTTTTCGATTTCATTTTGCCGTAAATTGCGTGCACACACTTGTTGCACAGAGCTTGTGAGCAGCACGGCCTGAGCCACACTGCTGATGTTTGAATACTTTGGGGGAGTGCGGTGCTTTTTCCTTTAAATTAGAATCCATTTGCACAATTCGTTTCATTAACCGAAAAAACGCAGAAACGGTTATTCTCCAGCATGCGCCTGCATGAGTATACATGCACTGATGCAACGCGCGGACTCCACTTGTCCCCTCTATGATTCCCTTGTTGATGCGGAAGCGCAGGATGCATTGCGTGCATACACACTTAACAACCTGAGCAACTCCACAATTGGCTCATCACCGTGTCACTCGCTGGCTGGGTGTGCCTCCACACACGATGATGTCTTCTGCTCGCAATGCTGCAGCGCAAGGGACGTCCCCATGTCGCCGTGTCAGGCCAGATTTCGATCCCAACTTCAAAGCGGAGAATATAAGTCGTCTGGAATTGCAACTGTCACGAGGCGCAAGATAGTCAAAAAGCTAGAACACGAAAGACGTCGGAAAACATCGACCATTTGGGACAAGCCATAAGGTACACGAAACTGCTCTGCGCTTGAGAGGCTCCCCAACCTCTTCACTCGCTTCAGTTCACATGCGTCCTCAACCCTGACGCACGACACTGAAAAGTTGGCCCGCAGCGCAGACGCACCATGGCTTTCAGGACTGCTGCCACCGTCTACACGGCCCGGGGATCGACGCACTGGGCCTGTGCCACTCGGACCCATCGCACCCCGGGAGCTGCCACGCGATTGCAGTCTTGCGAGACCACCTGCTGCAATCGCTGTTGCAAATAGGAAGCCGACGGCCGCCGCCTTGCCTCGTTGTGTAAAAGGAAATGACTGTTCCGTCCACTCCATCGTGCGCCAATCGCATGAACTGATCACAGACACCGCTTTGCTCGGGCAAATGGGAGGCTGGCGAGTACCTCATAGCCTTGTTATGCAACAGTCATGATGATGATGATGATGGTGGTGATGATGATGATGGCACCCATCGCATATTGTCACACGGTGTTTCAAATATACGGGATTCCTTGGTTTGTGGCCGGAAAAAGGCGCCCAGACGCCAATCGTCCGCTCCAAAGTACACAACAAAGGACGCGCCCCAAATGGAGCCCCGCTTGACCGTGCCGCTGCGCCGCATCGCGCCTTGCAGCACGGTCCAAGCCGCCTGGTGCGCAGATTCCCACCCTCCCCCGCGGAACCCGCAGCGCCCCGAAGGTAGGAATACTGGGCCGCACGTGGGCGATCCCGTTGATCTGTCCATGGCCCATCGGTTGCCGGTCGCCGATTGGGACCCTCTCGACACAGCCAAAGGCCACCTGGAGTGCCATCAGCACACAGGGCGCCTTCCCCCCTTGCGCGCGGCCGATGCTCCGCGCAAGTCAGCCCGATTTGACTGCCCGCTGCCTGATGCCAGCGGCGAACTGTGACCTGTGTGCTGTGTCGCTGCAGTGCTGCGTCGCGGGGTGCGCCTGTGCTGCTGGTGCGCCGCCCAGGCTGCGAGCGTGCTGGGCGGCGCCGCGGCCGCGCCCGCGTCCGAGTCGCATTCGATGGTGAAGCTCGTCAGCTTTGGTGAGGGGCGCTGCGGGATGAATGCGCCAGGGCGGGGATTTGTGGATCGACCCCGCCTGCCCCCCTCCCCGCCCGTTCCCCGCCATCATAAACGTCTATGATTATGCGGGAAAGATGATTGGCCACGGGATTTGGAGGCGCACCGTGGCCCGACAACTGGTTTCCTTTTGTCATCCGTGTTCGCGATCTTCCATGGCCGGGGTGTCCGTCCGCAATGATGGACTCTCGCGTTGAGAGTCGCGTCTCATGCAGCCTTTGTCTCGTTTGTCGTGCGGTGTATTTGAATCACAAGATCAACAGACTAGACACACGACAGGTGTTTACCGCGGAAGCTGTTGACCGCGTCCGCAGCCTTGGGGCCTGCAGGGCGTCTTGAGTGCAAACCTACCGTTAAGTCAGCAAGTGCGCCTGGAGAGCTCGGTTTCACAGGCCTGTGTACTTATGCTCACTTGGCTTGATGTGGGTAGGCGCACGGGTCCAACACATCTGCCGTGTACCATATCCAATAAATTTGTTTGCCTCTCAGCGTCAGGCTCGGCGCAAGGAGTGCCCAAATCGCTTCAATTTTATCTTATTTGCTCGGTGTAATGGCAATTTGTAGCAGATTGTGTGAATTCACCTGTGTTGAGTCAACAACCATGCTGCCAAAGGTGACATGAGGCTAACGGACTGACTACTGCGGGATCGCACTGGTACAATTTGCCTCGCGATTGACCTCAAATTGGCTAAAGCTCAGACTGCCTTCGTTGGCGCCGATCCTAATGACGATGCCACAACAGAGACCGTGCCTGAGAGCGGATAGATCATGTCCTGATATTGCCCCCCGTCGCTGATGGGTATCTTAGTAATCGGAGGTGATGATTAGAGTCAGAGGACGCCAATCGACAAAGCGGCTGGAGCGCAGGTTGCAGCCATGGCATTGGCTGTTTAGATTGTAGAATAATTAAACCATTTCTTAGTGTCGCACGTCTGGACTCTTCCCTCCTTGCCGTCAATTTGACGTTCATGTGACAAAATCGGCACAACGGTGCCATCCCAAGTCTTGAACCCATTCCTCAAAAGCCGCTTCCTATTCTGCAGTTTGAGCCTGGAGGATAGTATTCCATCACTTAGACCAATCTATTTGATCATGCAACGGTGTTGCTTTCTGAGGACACCAATTCAAACAAAATGCAAGCACAAGTCTCGTTTTCTACTTTTGTCTTTGGGCCAATCGTGAATGTCACGGCACAAGTGATCTCCTCCCTCTGCGAAGACGTGCAGGATCGGCCACCTGGACCAAATTGTGGGAAGCCGATGTGGATGATCCCCGCATTGTTTCCAATTGACATTTGGATGCGTTTGCCTTGGTGATCATGTGAATACGCATTGGCGGTGGCAGATGTCGACGGCACGCTTATCCACAGCGTTGGAGACAGCGCGAACAAAGTTCATCGACAAGCGTTCAAAGGCGCGTTCAAGCAGGTGTTCGATGTTGATACTGACATCGATGTCATCAACCACCACGGGTGCACAGATCCACTCATTCTCTTGAAGATCTTGGAGCATCATGGCGTCGCCAAAGAGGAGGTGATGATGGATTATTTAAAATGGGCACTGGATCGCGGTTGCAGGGACCAGCAGACACAGCGTGCCCGGCTGTTTCATAAATCGCGTTTTCAAGGCAGATGCTGTCCGTGCAGGTGTGCAAGACCATCCAGAATCCATGGCAGTGCTGTGTACACAGCCGCGCATATGTCTGGAATGTGTTTAACCACGTAGGTCCTCATACATTTGTCTGCATTGTGTACACAGAGTATGCCTCGGCTGGGAGAGATGCAAACATCAATGCTTCAGTACTTTGAGACCCACAAAGACGAAGTTGCGGATGGCGTCGCAGTGCTGCCGGGAGTAAAGAATGTTCTTCAGGAACTAAAGGTGCAGAATAGGATAGTTTCTGCCCAATTTTGGACTGCAGTTCATCTGCACGCGAACCTCTCGGCTTTGATGCACTCCCCCCTGAAGGGTATTCCTCGCTGTGTAGAATAAAACCACCACGCATATTGCACTGCGCAACTCCTGGCTGTCGTTGCCACACGTATTCCGGGTGCACTGCGGCTGTCAATAGACATAGAAACTTTGAAGGGTGGTGATGAAATTCTCGTGCTCTCACTGAGGGCATGAGAAGAGGGCCCCTCAGCCTTGCGGGCGGTCCTGCATCTAAGGGAGGGGAGTGCAATGCAGACAAGAAGTGACGTCGCCACGTGCTTGGTGACTGGAAATCTTGAGCCCATTGGATGGGGCAAAATGGAAGCCGTGGGGCTGTTGGACTTTTTCTCTCCGTCTCCGTTTGGTGGCTTCGGTTCGGACTTCTGCAGTGGGAACACTGAAGAGTCCTGGAGAGACCGCGCAGAGCTCATCCGAATCGCCGCGACACGGGCAAGCCATCTCCTGCCAAGTGAGTGGCCATGCTATTTCTGACCTTATTGCAATGTCCAATGTATATGCTACAACTATGCATTGTGAAATGCGCTATCTGGCTGCAGCTGTCTTTCCAAAGTTAGCACTGGATGCAACGAAACTCTTCATCTTGATGCCCTCAGGCGACCGCGAGTTTGTTTTTGAACACACGCAGTTGCAACATTGCAAACCAAATGCACTCTGGAGTGCAGCCTTGTCTTTGCAAGCGTCCGGTCGTAGCTTGTGCTAAAGACCTGTGCTCAGCATCCACCGACGATTGTCTACAAATGCTTCTGCCCTGCAGATCCTGTGTCAGAAAGGTTCCATATTGGCGACACTCCAATGGACCTCTTGGCGGCGAAGGAGGCTGGGGCAGTGGCGATTGGGGTGACCACTGGGACATACAGCCGCAGGGATTTGGAAACGTGTGGTGCAGGTGGGAGGTCGTAGATGGCACGGATCCGGCTACATTTCACCAACATTCGCGTTGATGGTCGCGAAACGTATTCGAAACAAAGGCGACGGATAACGTGGGAAATGTTCGCTTCTTGTTCTTGTTGCTGAAGTTTGCATTGCATTCCCCCGTTGCCTTTTCCCTGCGGCATTGAGGTAATTACCCACGGCCCCATGCAAACATGTCAATGCAGTTTTGGCTTCTGTGGGGATCTGAATGGCTATCATGTGCTTGCAGAAACTGTCGTTCTTGACGATCTCGCGGATGTCTCCCAAGTCCTAAAAGCGATGGGATTGGAATGAGACCCTGGTGCAGAGCGTCACCCGTAGTATACACATTTTAGTTGTTTGATGTCAGCTGCTTCGTCGGAGTCGGCATCTGCTGGCGGGTGAAAAAGGGGCAGATGCACTGAAGTTTCGTGGGTATGGCGGGCTGTCTCTCGCGCAACATGTAACGTCCACTTCTCAAATGTGATTTCCGTGTTCTCAGGCGGCTTTTCTGTTTTTCAACGCATTTTACACTCGGGCAAGCAACAAGATGCGCACACCGTCCCATGAACGGCAGTTCGATCAGTGTACGCCCCCACATCAAATACTAGACCGGATGGATCGCTCTTACATGCCAAATCTTCCGTCCCAGCTCGGCAGTTGAGCTGGGTTTGCACCAGCCAAAAAGGGGTGGTGATGGCTACCCAACGGCAGGCTCCCCGTTCCCTGGACAAGGCCTGCTATGTAATCCTCGTGATCAAAAACATCCGCACAGAACATTTCGAGATGGTGTCTCGGCAACTTTTGGCGGCACCCTAAGTGATTCCTGCAGCCCCAACACTGACCCAGACCTTTGTCGATTACACGCGGAGATTTGCCCTGTTTGTTGAATGCTCCCAACCCAGATCTTCAGCCAATACCTGCGACACACCGGGCATCGCCCCCCTGGAAGGTCATCGACACAAGAATCTACATTTCCCGACGGTCTTCATGCTGGTTCATATCCCCCTCCCGAGGGCTGCTGAGAATATCTCGCTTTTCTGCAGCACATCCAAATTCCAACGATGATGGCCGCCAGCCCCACCACCCCTCCGATGGTCGCACCCGCGACGACGCCAATGTTCACACCGCCCCCGTCGTCTTCTTCCTTGGGCGCGGGCGGCGGAGGCATGGTAATGTTGTCGGTGTCCGTGATCTCCACCGTGGGCATTCCATACGCGTTTGTGAACGCCGTGTCAGTGAAAACAGCACCCGCGTCGTTCTCCAGGGTGTCCACGAATTCCACTATGTCGCGGTTGCTGCTGGATTGCGCAAATTCAATGGCGACGTCCACGATGACCGATCCCGACCGCATGCCGATAATGGTGACACTGGGCGGCGTGCCGCCTTCGGGGGTGGCGTACGTCCGTATCTGCCTCACGATGCCGTTTCTGAACTCGGCGTCATTTTCAAGCTCGGCCAGCGCGCCATCGAATGTCAGCTCCACGCGGACCTGCACCGTCGTCGGGCAAAGTCAGACTCAGCCACAGCACACATCAACGCATTCAAAGGGCTTGCACGGCCCTGTTCTGCAGGCTGGCTACATGGTGAGGGCGCGGGGGCGTTCTTTGGTTGATCTGGCTGTGGACCAGACCAGGCCCTTTAGATGATATCGCTGGACCGCTCTTCGACAGGCCTTGTCAGGATGACGCAACACCACGACATGTGGTGCGCAAACAAACGGGGGAGCGAGCACATGGGGACGCGCGGTGCAACATATCACAAACGACTTACGAGTTTTGTTGCCTGGTTGGTAGGGGGCGCTGGTTGAGTTCCATTGTCGGTTGGCGGGGGGGTCGACGTCTCATTTTCCCCTGTTGGCGGCGGCTCAGGGACGGGCTCCGGCTCCGGCAACGGTATGGGCTCCGGCTCTGGTTCCGGCTCTGGCTCCGTGTACTGCACCACCAGCATTTCACCGAGTTTGGTTGTGTTGCAGGCCGCGTACGTCCCCTCGTACCCAGCGAACTTTATGCTGCCCCCAGCCAGTCCCACCAGCCTTCCGTCCTCGATCAGCATGCACTCCGTGGTCTTGGACAGGTCGTACAGCGACGCGTCCACGGGTATCCTCGCGGTCATGTTGCACTCTCCCCGCGGGCACAGCTCCGTCGCCCCGTTCCCCGTCATCCACATGGACAGCACGCCCGTCAGTATTTCGAGGTTGGTCGCGCCCACGGGCGCGATGGGGGCCCCTGTGAGGTTCAAGTGGGCCGCAGGGTCTTCGTAGAACTCCAGCGACAACGTCGCGGTGTCTGGGCAACCGTCGCCACAGTCGGGGTGGAAACCCTCGGGGACGGTCACCTTGGGGACAGCGGCCCCCTCGAGCAGCCTCCGCCGAGCCGCCGAGGCCTCGCTCGCCACCCCGGCAGAGAAGGTCATGCCCACCATGGTCGCCGGCGCCTCCTTCGCGCACGTCATGCCGATCAGCTTGACGGCATCGGTCTCCATCGAGCTCGTGCTGACGGCTCCGGAGCCGGCCGTCGCCGTCAGGCAAGCCAGTTTGGAGATGAGCGCGACGTTGTCCTTCATCAGCTGGTAGAACATCGCGCTGCTCAGCGCGCCCTCCCCCCTGCTGTGTTTGGCAAGCGCGTCGGCCACGATGTCGACGACCTCCTGAGCCTGCGACGGCGTGGCGGGAGAGGACGCGTAGTCCTGGGCCGTCAGTCCAACCTTCACTGCGGCCAGGACCTTCTCGGTCATATTGCCGGCGAGGTTGCCATCCCTGGCTATCCCCGCCAGCACGCCCTGCGACGACTTGTAGCTGTCCAGGTCGATCTCCTCCGCGGTGGCCGGAATCTGATCCAGCACCTGTTGGGCCGTCTCCCCCGTTGTTGCTATCACCACTTCATTGGAGACGGCCTGCAGGAGGCTCCTGCGCCTGCCGTTCCCGGCGTATCTCAGGAAGAACACGGTTTTCAGCGCCCCCTTCATGACGCACGTGGTGCAGCCCGAGTCTATGGCCTTCTGCATCTCCTCTGCTGCAGCGTCCAGCTGCGCCGTGTCCACTTCGAAACCTCCGCTCGGCTCCACCACCGTGACCGCCGCCTTTTGAGAGACAACGGCCCAATCAGAGTCGTACACCCTGACCCCGATCTCGTGTGCGCCCACGGGCAGCCCATCCATCGTGAAGGATGTTTGAGACCCCCTCTGCAGAGTCATGGACGCGCCAGTGTTGGATAGCCAGTAGAACTCGTATACCATGCCGGGCTGATCGTCTGCGAACTCCTTGGCGGTCGCGACGACCTGGCACGTTGGGAACTCGCAGGGATCGTCCACCGACAGGGTGAAGCATTGGCCGTCCGCCCTTCCGCAGAACGGCGCCGCGTTGGTGGCAAAAGGTACGACCGTCTCTCCCTGCTCCCCGCCCCTGGAGAGTGTGGCGACGAACTGGTATTCCGCACCGCCTTCAAGCATGTCGGGCTTGATGAACAACACGGCATTGTTGACGCCTCCGACGGTCATGGAAGACAGGTCGTTTATTGCAGAGCTGGACCACGAGACAGTTGTATCCGCGTACTTCAGGTCCGTCACCTTCAGCACCACAATCTCCGTGGGGTTGACGCGCGCAGGGCAGGGCAGGTCGCCGCAGTCCATCACTGCCTTCCCTGTGGGCATGGGGCTGGAGGCGTCCTGGGGTCGGAAAATGCACATGGCGCTGGCTTTGCGCACCACGACTGGATCGCCGTCCTCGGGACCCTGCTCCTTCTTCGACACTGTCACTGTGTACAGGTGGTACTTTCTGACGTTGGCGGTGAGGGAATCTGGTCCCAGCACCACTGTCGTTCCCGTCGCCGACTTGGGGCCCGTCTTCCCAGAGAAGCACGGGCTGCCGTCCTCCAAAGAGCAGCTCCACTCGTACGCGAAACTCTGCACCTGGTTGAAGGGGTCGTCGGGGTCCAGGGATTTGGAGGCGTCCAGGGTGATGTCGCCATCAAGGAGCACGTCTCCAGCGGGGCCCTCACAGTAGGCGCGCACGTCAGACCCGAAGGGCCTCAGGGTGACTTCCGTGCTGGAGGACCCCTGGACCTCGCCATTCGCGTTCTTGAGGTCGGCGGTCATCCTCAGCTTGTAGGGGTACTCCGCCTGGCCCGCGATCGGAGGCTTCAGCAGCAAGTCCTTGGAAGGCACGCCATCCGCAGGAATGGCGCTCCAGAGGGGCGAGTCGATGGAGACCCACTTGTAGTCCACCTTGTAGCCGTCGCACACGGAAGTTGTGTCGATGAAGGCGGACACCTTGGTGCCCCTGGACAGCATGAATCTTTGCACCGAGTCCCCCACAATGCTGACCATGGGGACGGGGGAACTGGCGCGCAACACCTGCACATCCAGAGGCGCGTCCTGGCCGAGGAAGTTCGTGGCTGTCACTGTGAATTTGTAGGTCCCAGGTGTGAGCGCATCAATATCGGACCCGGCGAGGACGAAAGTGCCCGTTTGCCTGCAGGCCACCAGGAAAGCATGGAGCATTAGATCAATGTGAATTTGCTTGCAGCAGCTGCGTACTCCGCACAGTGCGCCGAACGCAGTTGCGTTGGCGGCACCCCTTGAGCCAAATATCATGCTTCTAACTTAGACTAAACAGGGGTTTGGCACTGAAGCAACGAAGACCTGGCACGCCTGGCCTGTACTTTGTTACGCAAGACGAGGGCGTCACGCCCCCTACAGGCACCGGTAGGGCTCTGCAGCGGTTTGGGGCTCGAAAATCGCTCGCGCCATTACTCTGCCTCCAGAAGAGTCTTGAGACCGTCGCAGTCGGAGTGCGTGGTGAATGTAGTGGGATCCGCGGTTGTGGCGTAGCAACTGCTCGTGTCCAGACTCCAGCCAAACGTCAGGCTCCTTCCGGCAGTGTCCAGGGAGTACGTAGCGTCAAATACCGCATCTGGAATACTGCTTCCGCATCCAGCCGACATCACCGGAGAGTAAACGCACGCCACAATGGGCGTTACGCAGTTGTCGCAGTTGCTGAGCGTGACGCCTCCCGTGAACGGGTTGGCCTGCGGCAGTATGTCCACCAGGCGGGTCTGGCCGTCGCCCAGCGTAAGGGTGTCGCCGGCCACGATGTCGGCGCCGCCGCGCAGCATCACCGTGAGCGTCTTTCCGCTGACGAAGCAGAAGGCGGCCCCCAGGGAGGTCACCGTGGCGGCGTCGAAGGCGTCGGAACACGCGAAACCGGTGGACAACGCCGCGAAGTTGAGCGTGACTTCTATGGTGCTGCCGCTGTCGCCGAACTTCGCGGAGGCCATGTTCCTGTTGGCCGGCACGCAGATGCCGTCGCACGACTCGATGGCCACGCCCGTGCCCGCGCTGCAGGTCATGGTCTGGCAGCTGGACGCCAGTCCGAGGTTGCACGTCTCCCCGTCGCCGCAGTCGCCGTCCGCGGAGCAGGCCGTGAACCTGCTGTTGAACTCCTCCAGCTGGGCCGCGTACTGGTCGCACCAGTCCGTGCACTTCCCCCTGGAGACGCACAAGTCCCGGCCGGTGGAGGCGCTGCAGGTGCACTGCGCCGCGGTCTCCGAGAAACTGCAGTACTCCGTGGAGCTGCAGTCGTCAGCGACGCTGCACAGCGAGGCGTCCACCGCGTCCGCCTCCGGGCTCGGCGGCGCGGGGCTGCCGTCCAGCACCGCCTGGACGTCCGACCCGCCGGCGCAGAGGTCCACGGGCACGTCGGTGCCGTTCAGGGTGCAGTCCTCCCGGCAGGCCCCCAGCATGGAGCAGACGGCGGCGGGCCTCTTCCCGAAGACCCCCTCCTTGCTGTAGAAAGTGAGAATGCCCAGTTCCCTGCATTTGAGCGGATCGTAGCCGCCGCTCTCGCACGCCGCTCGGACGGCCTGCGCGGCGCAGTTTACACCAATGTGGGGAGTGGCTCGGGGGCGCTGCGCAGTTGCTGCGGCGGCAGCGAATTCGAACACAGCGAGATCCTTCTCAAAATTGATGAGCAGGGAAAGGACAATGTGGGCGGAGACCTATTTGCACTCTACGATGGCACCTGCTGAGCTGCCATAGGCAGTTGCGCATGTTTGAATGTAGTTTCTACCTATCCACGCACCTGCCCCACTGTGCTGCTCAGGGTCACAGCCTCGTTTTGAACGGCCACTTCTGTCATCGCCATGACGCACGTGCTGCACATATTGCACTGGTCCGTGCAGTCACTCTTCCAAGAGCATATGCGCGTCGTGGAGACCGCGTCGTAATAATTGTTGCAGAAAAACTCATCGTTAATTGCCGCGCAGGGGTTTTCCCCAGATACTGTGGTGCAGGCGTTATTTCTCCATTCGCACGTTTCAGAACTTTGGCAGCCCTGCGAGTCGGTCCTGGACATACATGCGCACCTCCGTTAGCAACGTGCATCCGGACATCCTCCCAGAAATGTCCGTTGCGCATCCAGCTAAAGAGTTTCAACATCAAAATAAATGTCGCGACGTATACCGAAACCCCCTTGGCTGTTTCAACAGTATTCGCAGAAATGCCGCTGTTTCTTAACGATTGACCACAATTTTCCCACAACGGACAAGTTGACGAGACTAATCATTTCATTGCAACAGAGGTGAATATTCCCGGCATGACGAATTGCGCTGCAGCCAGAGCTTGTTTCATCGTTCTTCCGATATTATTTCATAGTCGAATTGGACGGCACAAATTGCGGAGAAACGCCAATGGCGCATTTTTCAATACATGCGATCCCAGTACATTAACCACCAAACATGGCCAGTATTACTCAACAATTCCACAGAAACTCAAAAGTTTGTCAAAAAGAAAGTTTGAGTACAAAAGGGTGTCATGGGACACGTGCATTTGCGATGAATGTGATTACGTCGCATTGACTAAAAAACTCATCAACCTGCCAACCGCTAACGTTGTACGAACTTTGTGGAATATTGCAAACTGATCCCAAGCCCACTGGCTGGGGCATTAGAACCCAAACGTCATTAATGCATCCCAACCAGTACTTGCCATGGCCATGTGCGCGCAATCTGCGCAACTCACTGAAACATGCATCGGTCGTTTCTGATCTGGCAGGACCCCGATACGCGACAAAGGCCGTCGCAATTTCTCGGGTCCTTCTCACAGCACTCCTTGTCTATTCCTGACAGAGCGGAGCACCGGTCTGTGACACATCGATCTGCCAGCACGCAGCTTGGGTTTCCTTCGCAATCGGCCTCTCCCAGGGATTTGCACGGGCTGTAGGCGCTCGTACAATAACCCGCAAAGGGGTTGTCTTCAAGGCACAAAAGCAATAACGCACATCAGTTTCAATGCGGCTTATTTTCCGATTGCATTCACGAAAATAGCGAAACGTCATGGTGGATATCAGAGCGATGATCTGCACAGCATGATCCAATGCAATGCGTGGCTGCTTCGCTGACACTCACAGTCGTCTTTGTATGGCTTGAACTCGCACTGAGGCTCTTTGTTGCAGTCCCATTCGAATCTGTTTCTGGAACAGCTGTCCGTCCTGTCGACGCATTTCGGCTGAACGCTGCATTGCGCTCCACCCACGCTGGACGCCTGGGAAGCGGCGCAAGTCGAAGACTGCTCTGAGGAGAAGGTCTCTTCAATGCTGGAAATGCAGCACTGATCGCGGGAGGCCTTGCACTGGAAATCTTTTCCGGATGGAGGACCGCAGACCTGATAAGAAAATCGTCGGAATGGTTAAACACCAAGAAGGTCGACGTGCATTAGCCCATTTCGATGACAGTGAAACCATTGAGCCATGTGCACTCTTGTATCATGCTAGCCATTCACACTGTATGTACCACAAATACAACGCCAAGATCAATATCGCTACACAACTACCTGTGGGAGGCGACTTTCACACTTTGTACTGATCATGCACCGCCCTGTGTGCACCCAAAAACAAGGAAAGGAGCAACGTATACGTTGGTTCTTTTCATGCCAGTACACATTAGACTGATTTTCCAACTTCTGCGGACCAAGACTGGAAATATGCACTTGTCGAGTTGCAAATCATGCATGCACGTCATCGCACCGTCTCATGAGAAAATGTCTCACCGGCTCACTGAAGCACGTGGGATCGTCGAGACACTCTGAACGCCTCAAGCTTTTGCATTTGTCGCGGCCTTCTTGGTTGATGCAAAATCCTCTGCCCGCTTCCTAAACGCATCAATGGGGCGCAATCGTACAGAATTTAAACATTCCGATCATTGGCTTAGGAGCACTGTAGGCGCGAAACTACGCGCCAGGCTCCGAGCAGCAGAGGTATAGACGGTAGAACGGATACTGACTTGGATGAGTTACTGCATTCAGATGCTACGTAGAATGCACAAGAACTCTTAAAGAAACCCCTTTGCCAACAACGAGGCGACCTGCGTGTATGTGCCCGTCTCTCAGATCGTCTTTCTTTGCCGCCATACTTGCGCTCTTTCTTAATGGAACATGTGATACCTGGATATGGTGACATCTTGTATGATGCCAGATACCTGAGATGTATATATACGTATGTATATAACACGTCAGGATGGTTCCGCAGCTGGTGCTGATCAACTGTCAGTTCGTTTGCTAATGCGGCAACATTACCAGTTGAACTCTTGTCCTTAACGGCTATCTTACGCAATCAATCGCATCCTATGCACACACTTGATGGAAACAGCATTTTCTTGCAAATGTCGTGGTGCATTTGCATGTTCAGTGAGTGTAGCTCTTTCTTTGCAATGAATCAAAACGGATCTATGAAGCAAATGCGCTTTGGGTGGACTGTGTATTTTCAGCAAACTCTTAATCTTTGGAAACCGGGATGCAATGCTTGTACGTGCAGATCTGTCATGAAAATATTCGAGACAACCGGTGAGCAAATACTGGCTCTGTGGGAAGACACAAGTTGCTTCTACTTGTCCATGCAACGAAGTGAGATTATGCGCAGCAAGGGTGGGAATGCTGTGCCAGCCGTCTGACAGGAGGCAAGGATGCATCCAGTATTTGCTCACCGTCGGAAGAGCACGGAAGTCCTGAGATTCGACAAACGCACAAGTAGCGTTGGCAATGCTTGACGGGCACGTTGCCAATCCCTTGAAGCTTTGCGCCATGCTGAGCTCGAACGCTTCCGTGCACTCGTCCTCGCGCAACACGCATGTCTCCTGTTGTAGCCAGTTTAAAAATAAATAGACTGGAATTCATAAAGATGCAGTCATTGCATTTGCGGGCATCGGGATCTGCCTTCAAAACAGGGCTCAGCGGACATGGATGGAAAGTCGATGCATTGCGCAGCATTGGAGTTGGCAATCTCACAACCACTAGTGTCGCAGAATCTTTCCCATGGCCGTGGGAAGAGCGTGGGAGCCGTGGGGTGTGGAACTGCGTGGGCCTCTGTGGCCCGTCCCCCGCGTGGGGGATTATTTCCTCGCGTGGAAACCGTGGGGTGTGCGTGGGGTGACAGCGTGGGGCTTCGTGCCCACACACACACGCGCGTGTGTGTGTGTGTGGTGTGGTGGGGGGATTGTGCATGTGGGACAGCGTGGCTGCATCTCCACGTGGGACCAATGCGGGCCCGTGTGGGACATCCCACCCTATGGGTACATTTTTACGCCACTCCACAGCGCCCCACGGCGTGGGACGTGGGCCCACGCGGGACCAAGTGGGACGCCCCAAGATTCTGTGACCCTAGTGAATTCCAACATCTTGAGCGTGCGTGCAGATCTCTAACACTTGATATCGCCATCTTGGGTGCGAGGCGTTACACAATGGTCCCCTGTCGTTCCAAAATTTCCAGAGACACACGGACCCACCCCTGTCTTCTCTTTGAATCACTTGATATGGATCTGCGTCAGATCCGGAGGCGATCTTCATGCCGGCTTGTAAACGCAGCATTAATGTGTGTGATGCGTGGGTCAACAATTGAACTGGCCTATGCGGACACACCTTTGGAAATACAGCTGCGATTTGCAGCAACACGTACCAAAATTGGTAGGGAAGTTTTTGCGATTTGTGCAATTCTATATCAGAATAAATAATCAAGCAAATTAACAGCATATATCTTACGCTGTATTCGCATGACGAATATTCCTGGCATTTCCCGTTTGCCGGAACATTTCCGATATCTCCATTTGCAATGCAGCAGAACTCCGAGTCCGGATCGCAGAAGGCGTAGGCATAGGTCTCGGCCCTGTACACGACCGTGGAGCCCGGAATCAACAACATGTGGCAAAGATTCAAACACACGCAACTTGATATCCAATATTGCCTATCAGTATCGTTGAGCTTTTTGAATCCGCCGTTGTATGATGCGTGCGATCAAATTTTCACTAGACTAGATGAGGCAAAATGTGGCTCTACCATGCGCATCTTGAAATCCCAATGAACGATGCCGCCACGACACAATTCAGGTCACAAGAGCGCACAATTCCCCAAGCAGACGGAAGGCAGAAACAGATATCTGTGTGTATGTAGGCTGCGTTAATGCAGCATTTCAGTGACATAATGACCAGGGATTTTTATTTTGCTGCACAACGCCCTGTTTTATAGCGTTCCATATTTTGAAATTCAGCATTAATTCTTGAATCCATGTACTGTTGAAATGGCGTTGGGTAGATATTTATTTTCCATAACAATCGTTTCCGTTGGGCGCAGTTCGTGCGCAGCAACCGGGCCACCAAGTTTCACACGCATCAGACCAGTCTCCCGGCAGCTGCCGGGCGTGCGCCACGAGTCTGCGACAGGGGATCCTCTGAGGAATATTGCGAGGATGAGGGTAGTG